TGTTATATAAATCATTCTAGTCCATAACCTTCAAAACATCAAGATATAGCACATAGAACTTAAATTATATTCTATGAAAAATTTCGGGGGATTACACTTCGCAGCTGAGGCACCACGATGTTGCGTTGCTGCACCGACGGCGTTTGTGTGGTGGCGGGGTTTTGCGGTGGTGGATTTGCAATTTTTGTGGTGGTGGCTGTGGTGGTAGATCTAGCCGTTGGGGTGGTGTGGTGTTTTGTGTGGTGGTGGTTTTGTAGTGAAATTTGTGGTTTGTTGGTGGCTGTGGTGGTGAGGAGGAAGAGAAGGAGGTGGTGGTGGTGAAAAGATGGAGAGTACGGTGTTCCTACTGGTTTTCGTGAGGTGGTGGTGGTGGTTCTGGAGACGATGGTTTGGCGATAGTGGTGGTGGTTCTGGCATGCTGGAGGCAGAGGTGCTGTCGGAGGTTTCAAATGTTGGTGGTGGTTAAGTAGTGGTTGTGGTGAAGAGGTGGTGGTGGTTCTGGCGACGGTGGTTTGGCAACAGTGGTGATTCGACCCGTCGGAGGCGGTGGTGCTATCAGAGGTCGCAAGTGTTGGTGGTGGTCACCAATTATTTGGTCAACTGTGACATTAAATTTGTGACCAATAAAAAATATGTGACCAATGAAAAAATTATTTGTGATCATGAAATTATATGTGACCTAAAAAATTATAAATTTGAAATCGATAATTTAATAATTTGTGATTGACTAATAAGTTGTAACTCATAATATTTGTGATTTGTGACCTGTGACCTATTAATTTTTTGATTTGTGACCCTGAAAATTTTAATCCGTGACCGTAAAATAATTTGTGACCAATAAATTTTCTGATTTGTGATTGAAACATAATTTGTGACTAATAAATAAGTTGTGATCCATAAATATGTATATGTGACCATGAATTGTATAATTGTGATTTTAATATATTTAATTAATTAATAAATACCTGATTTTTGCAATTTTTAAACTTAGGGCCTGAAAATTGATTTGGTCATAATTAAAACTTGATCCATGAATTCTTCCCTAAAGCATTTATAAGGATAGAGTCACCCCATAGCTGTTTGGGAAGGTTTGATTGAACATTAAAGATTTAGCCACGTTGAGAAAGTGTTTGTGTTTTTATTCAACCATCCCATTTTGTTGAGAGGTTTCAATATAACTGAGTTGGTGAATGATGCCTTTAGATTGGTAAAAATCTATCTTATGGAACTCCAGTTAGTCAACCATCCCATTTTGTTGAGAGGTTTCAATATAACTGAGTTGGTGAATGATGCCTTTAGATTGGTAAAAATCTATCTTATGGAACTCCAGTCCACTAACTGACCACATTTGTTTTATTTTGGTGTTGAATTGGGTAAGAATCAGAATATAAAAAGTTGTGATGATGTTTCTGGTTTGAGATTTGTTGTTCATAAGAAATGTCCACACAATCCTACTATAATCATCTACAATAGTAAGAAATACTTAGAACCAGCAATAGAAAGATAATGAAAAGGTCCCCATATATCAACATGAATCAATTCAAGGACAACGTTTGATACATGTGTACTAATAAGAAAATGGAGTATATGTTGTTTGGCAAGTGGACAAATGGTACAATGAAAATTTGTTTCAATAAGTACCTCTTGGTACAGTTTTATTGATAACAAATATTCTAGAGCCAAGGATATGACCTAATGTGTTATGACAAAGATCAAAGGAGTGATTATTACTGCACTGCACTGACATCAGACTT